ACTGATTGAGCTGCTGCGTTTTGCAGAACGTCCTCCCTGTATTTTCTCACTGTATTTTTGCTGCTCCCCCCCACCCCTCACGGAGAAGTAAAGCCCGGTGACGTGTGCTGTACTCACTGATCTGCCAATACTCTGCTCCATGGAGTGGCCGTGTGTGGATTCACAGTGACAACTGCCCCCCAACCCTTTGGAGTTATTACCCAGGCACATGGGACAAACACGGAGCAGGAGGAAGGTACTTCTACACACAAAGAGACTGTCGCTCTGAGCCACTTGTATCCAATGTACCAGTTACAGAGCAGTAGTATTAGAGGCAGGGAGCAGTTTATCCATTTGTCCCATTGTCAGAAAGGGTGGAGGAGAACAGGAGCCCAAAGTAATAATAACAATGGTAATATTGAATTCTGACTTTTGACCCTGATGTCCACATCCTTCTCATCACTTGCATATTGATTGGTTGCCCTACATTTATAAATTCCTTGATGTTCTGAGGTTTTGTACGGAATATGCAGAAATCCAGGACCAATCTCAATGTTGCTGCCATTACTGGGGTTTACCCACTCTAATGTAGGTGAGGGTCTTCCATTGGACATACAGCTTAATGTAATTTCATCACCTTTAGTGACTTCTACTGGAAAGCCTGACATTGTTCTGTTATTTACTGATACGGTCGTGATTGTGTCTCGTGGTTTATCTGGAAAAGAGAAGAAAAAGATGAAAATAGGCAGGCATACCCACAGGATCACTGATACAGCTCCCCAGCACTGCTTCAATTAGCAGGATGTCCAAACCCAGCCACATATTGTGCTCTTATCTATCTTCCAACAGTCATTTCAGAACAGGTGAATCTCTGCAGTAGTGTTGCAGCCTTGAGCTTACTCACAGTCATATGTTGTTTTGATGAACGGTCACAGTGAAATGCAGTCATTGTGTAAATATTAATTCAGCATCACGGCCACTGGATCTGACGGTCTCAGGATATCACACAGTGTTCACAGTACTCACAATAACGGAGATTCAAACGTACAATTTCCTGTATTGTGTTGCTGACACAAAATGGTTACATTTAGAGATAAGGTCTTTAATCCATGCTCATTTTTGACCATGCACACGTACAGTCCACCATGCTGCATTTGAACAGACGGGATGTAGAGTAACTCTCTGCTTTCTATTTTTCCATCTTTGATCCAGACCCTCTGGGGAACTGGGTTTCCTTGCTCATGACATGTTAAATTCTGTGATTCCCCCTCAATCCAGTTTCCTTGAGTTTTAAAGATCTCTGCTTTTAATGCTGCATCTGTAAAATTCGTTCCAAGTAAAAATTAAATCATGATACTGATCGACTGCAAATTGAAATATTTTTCAGATTCTTCCGCTAATTCTTTTGGGTGCTCTGCAGATGTCAATATTCGTTATAAAACTGGCTTCTATTTTAAAACACAGGATAAAAGGCAGAATAACTTTCCCTGAATTCTGTGAAAAATGCAACATTCTGATGCGCCTTTTGAGAAATTTCCAAATTATTTTGGCTTTATGTTGGGATTCTGTGTAACTGAGGAAAAGAATTAAGAATACATTTCAGAGATGGGGTTACCCTAACACAATAATTAAAATAGGGGTATTTAAATATCAGGATATTGACTGGGATAGGGGTAATACAAAGAGCAGCCATGGGAAAGCAATCCTAGGCAGTGTTCAGTGGATATTTCTCCAGCAGTAAGTGTCCAGACACTGAGAAAGGATGCACTGGCCTCGTGGTATTATCATCGGACTGTTAACCCAGAGACCCAGATAATGTTCTTGGGACCCGGGTTCAAATCCCGCCATGGCAGATGGTGGAATTTGAATTCACTAAAATATCTGGAATTATGAATCTAATGATGACCAGGAATCCATTGTCGATTGTTGGAAAAACCCGTCTGGTTCACTAATGTCCTTTAGGGAAGGAAACTGCCATCCTTACCTGGTCTGGCCTATGTGTGAATCCAGACCCGCAGCAATGTGGTTGACTGTAACTGCCCTCTGGACAATTAGGGATGGGCAATAAATGCTGGCCTAGCCAGTGACGCCCTCATCCTGTGGATGAATAAAGAATGAATGAAATAAAACCTGTTCTTGGTGCAAGTGTCACTGGGAGAACATTGAGGGCACAGTGATCATTGTATCATCAGGACAATGGCAGAAAATGACATTGGTCACTCCAGAGTCAGAATATTCAACTGGGGGAGAATGGACTTCAACAGGGCAAGAAAAGAACAGGACCGAATGAACAAGAACCAAAGGTTCATGGGAAAATCAATAGCTGAACAATGAACTGCCTTCAAAGACGAAATGGTTTGGGCACAGTCATGGTAAATTCCCATAAACAGGCAAAGGGAGGCAAGCAAATGCAAAGCTCCCTTGATGTCAAAGGAGATGGAACTTCAGTAAGCAAGTGTGTTTATGATACATGTCAGGTAGTAATTACAATTGAGAACCAAATACAATATAGAAGGCTCAGAAGTGATGTGAAAAAGCAAAATGAGAAACGGACTGAGAGCTAACATATAAAAAAATTGGATGTCTCCCACAAGCACATCTGCAACAAGAAGGTGGTGAAAGGAGGATTAGGTACAATAAAAGAAATTTACATTTGGGGCAAGAAGTATAGCTGAGGTATTAAACTAATTTCTGTATTTGTCTTTACCAAAGAGGTAGATGCTGCCCAGGCCATGGTTACAGAGGAGAAACCTCAGTCACTTAGAATGGTTTATATTTGATAAAGAGGAATGTTTGGATAAGCTCTCAGTACTTAGAGTTGAAAAGCCCCAGGACCAGATCAACTGCATCCAAGGATATTCATATACCTGAGAATGGAAATTGCAGAGGCACTGGGGTTATTAAGTGGAGGTTGACCCCCCACAAAAAACTAACACCAAAGCACCCAGAGAGGAGCGCTTCACTCTATAATCCGTAAAAGGAATGTGAAAAGTGGCATAACCTGCCTTTCAGCAACTTCTAGTGGTTAAATAAAACAAATCCCTAATACTTATTTTACAATAAACAAGTAACAATTTATTTATCTAACTCACACAGTGAACAAATTAAGTAAACTATTAACAAACCGTTTAAACTCCTTCTAACTACTAACTGTTCCCAAATAAAACAACATTCTAATAGTGTGCTGTTCCAATCAATATAAGCCCCATTGATATAAAATAAAGAAAAATAGAGATTTATTCTGTTGAAATTACCGCCAGGTTATATGTCTTCCGGAATGTTCTGTGCCTTTTCCATTGAATGTTCTGTCAGGAACGTCTTCTCCGTCAAATGCCCGGTCAGGAATATTAACTGGTTGTGTCATAGTTACCTTTGATTAAGATCATGCCTTGTCTAAAACTTAAGAGAAAACTGTGAGAGTCAGCGATTCCCCCTTGCAAGCTGTGAGCTGTTAACTCTAGCAGATGGCAGTTACTCTTCTGATTTTCCAACTGCCCTCTCCTTTTGCACCCTTGATGACATATCAATTTCTTACAATAGGATGAGTCTTATGTTGTCAAAACCATCAGATTTAAATTTAATTGGTTTTTGGTATCTATGTATCTATGTGCCTGATTCAATTTGATTGGCTAAAATCAAAAGTTGTTGACTTGATGACAAAACAAAAGTGCGCTTGGCCTGATTATGGATTGATAAAATTATTTCAATTCAGGTGTGTTTTGTGCACCTGCCAACCCATAACTGCTGTGCACAGACAATCTCTAGGCATAGAAAAAACACATAATCTTTTAAAGAGAGCATGTATTACTTTCCCCGCTAGCATTTTACAAACACCAAATTCTAACTTCCTGCTTCCCAATCCATAAGTACTCTACTTAACTTTGCAACACAAGCAATAATCTTTCAAAATGAAAACTGAAATAATGTTTCAATCTCACCTGGAATTGAGGTCAGTGCTTAATGATTTTAGAATTACAAACCTTCCTCAAAAAGGTTGTAAGGATTGAACTAGCAATGACAGACCAATCAGTTTAACTTCAGCAATTGAAAACATCTAGAAACAATTATTCAC